AGTTTCCCAATCTGTGGACTTCAATTGAAGTCCACGGGTTTTAAAGTTGCCAAGCTTGGGAAACCCTGCCCTAGAGGCACATCGAAGTAATTTCTGAGGTCTTTGAAAAGGTAAAATAATAATAATAATAATAATAATAATAATAATAATAATAATAATAATAATAATAATAATAATAATAATAATAATACTGAATAACTCAGGACATGGTTATCAAACATCAAAAACATCTGCTAGACTATCCCACCTCCTTTACATGGATGATCTGAAGCTGTATGGAAAAACATCATCTGAAATAGAATCGCTGCTCAACACTGTCCGTATATATAGCCAAGATATTGTAATGGAGTTTGGCTTGGACAAATGTGCCACACTTACTATCAAACAAGGAAAAATAGTGAAAACTGAAGGAATCAAGATGCCCCACGAAAATAACATTAAGAGTCTGGATGAGGAAGAGTACTACAAATACTTGGGTATCCTTCAAGCTGACAACATCAAGCACACTGAAGTCAAGAAAAAGATTAGAGGTGAATACATCAAGAGAGTGAAGAAGATCTTAAAGTCCAAACTCAATGGAGGAAATACCATAAAGGCAATCAACACCTGGGCAATTCCAGTCATTAGGTACACAGCTGAATAGTGGACTGGACTCAAACAGAACTAAAAGCAATGGATAGGCAGACCAGAAAAATAATGACAATGAATCATGCCCTTCATCCACGCAGTGACATTGATAGACTTTATCTACCAAGGCAAATAGGTGGGCGTGGAATGCTACAAGTACATCAGATGGTTGAAGAAGAAAAAATGGCTTTGGAAGAATATCTGAAGAACAATGATGAAGATGCACTGAAATTAGTATATCAGGAAGGCTTACTAACTACTGGAGAGACCAAACTGGCCTACAAGAAAGACCAAATGAAGAACAGAATAGAGGCATGGGAAGACAAAGCACTACATGGCCAATATGTGAAAAAAATAGCTGGGAAAGCAGATAATAATAAGACCTGGCAATGGCTAAGAGCAGGAAAGTTGAAGAAAGAGACCGAGGGACTAATTCTGGCTGCACGAGACCAAGCCTTAAGGACAAATGCATACAAAGTCAAAATTGAGAAGACAGCAACAGACATTAAGTGCCCCCTATGCAAAGAAGCTGAAGAAACAGTGGACCACCTGGTAAGCTGTTGTAAGAAGATTGCACAGACTGACTACAAGCAGTGGCATGACAAAGTAGCAACAATGGTGCACTGGAAGATCTGCAAAAAATATCATTTGCTTGTAAGGAAAAACTGGTGGGATCATAAAATAGAGAAAGTCATAGAAAATGATAAAATTAAACTGCTCTGGGACTTCAGAATTCAAACAGACAAGCACCTGCAACATAACACCCCAGACTTAACAATTGTCGATAAGAAAGACAAAAAAGTCTGGATAGTGGACGTGGCAGTGCCTGGAGACAGCAGGATAGATGAGAAAGAACTGGAGAAGATAACAAAATACAAAGACTTACAAATAGAAATATTGTGGCAAAAGCAAGCAAGGGTAGTACCAATAGTGATAGGCTCCTTGGGTGCAATCCCAAAACAACTGGAGCACCACTTGGACACCATCATCGGCATTGACAAATTCGCTATTAGTCAATTGCAAAAGGCGGCCTTACTAGGAACTGCTTCCATCCTGCGACGATATCTGTAATACCATCAAACATCCACATCTGCCTATCCCAGGTCCTGGGTAAGGACTCGATAGGTAGACAAAATGCCAAATCCAGTCTGAACATCTGGCTGACTGTGCGATGATCCATAATAATAATAATAATAATAATAATAATAATAATAATAATAATAATAGTTTTGAGTAGTTTGTTCAGCCTCAGATGCAAAAAAAGCCAATTATGACCTATTACACAAAACAGAACTTTATGATCCTGAGTTCTGTGGTTTTCAAAAGCCCAACTTGGTGCAGCTATTGCTGGATTACACAGTTTGATGTTTACCCTGGATATAGACCTCACTCAGAATATCGTTAACTGCACTGTGAGTGTTGCTGGGTCAGAGTTTGCCAACTCTTGCTTCTCTTTCAATTGTTGGCATGCCACATGGGCAAACGTTCTCAGCTGGCCCCACTTGGCATTACTGCAATGCAATTAAGGAGTAATCCTGCCCTGGCAAGAGCAGGGCAACTGTCCTACCCAGCATGCCTTGCAGAACAATTTTGTTTTTATTAATAGAATGAGCAGTATTAGGGAATGGATGAGAAGAGTTCACCTGGTGTTTTCTGAAACAGTTTGTGGAAATCTGGGGCAGACTTTGAGTGGGCAGAATGAGTCTTAACTTCACGCTTCTGATCCATCGGAGAAATCCATCGGAGGAATTATTATTTTGTTGTTTTTGCATGTACAATGAGAGCCTCTGCACCAGAGACAAATTCCTTGTGTGTTTAATCACATTTGGCTAATAAAGTATTCTATTCTATTCTATTCTATTCTATTCTATTCTATTCTATTCTATTCTATTCTATTCTATTCTATTCTATTCTATTCTATTAAGAGACTAGACAGTTACTTGTCTGAAATGGTATATACCAGTGGTGGCTAACCTATGGCACGGGTGCCAGAGGCGGCACTCAGAGCCCTCTCTGGGGGCATGCGCGCTGTTGCCCCAGTCCTAGGCCTTCAGCTGGGTTTTATAAAACCTTTTCGCTTTGGGCCTCCGCTGCTGTGTGCAAAAAAAAAAGGTTCAATCAATCAGTCAATTTCAACTTCTCGTGGGAAAAAAAAAAGATCTTGCAAAGTTGGAATTGATTGATTGAACTTTTTAGTCCTACCCAGTCTGCCGTTACCACCACAGCCATGCCCACCAAATGGGCCACACCCACACAATTGGCCACACCCAGCCAATGGGCCACACCCATCCGGCACCCAACGATGCATAAGTGGGTTTTGGGTTGCAGTTTGGGCACTCGGTCTCTAAAAGGTTCACCATCACTGATATATAGGGTCGCCTGCTTGAGCAGGGGGCTGGACTAGAAGACCTCCAAAGTCCCTTCCAACTTCTATTCTATTCTATTCTATTCTATTCTATTCTATTCTATTCTATTCTATTCTATTCTGTTCTGTTATGTTTTTTCTGTTCTGTTCTGTTCTATAAATCAGGGAGCCCCAATCTCCAAGCTGTGGACTGGTGCTGGTCCATGGCCTGTTGGGAAGTGGGCTGAACAAGCGGTGGGGGAGCATGCAAAGCTTCATTTGCGCATGGGTGGGAGCTAGGTTGTGCATACAAACCCATCCTATCCCTGCTGCTGCTGCTGATTTGTGGAGCCAGGAAGGTTGATGAATGCAGCCATAAATATTAGTTTCATAAGCCCAGTAAGCTTCAGACTATCATCTAGCTAGCTCTAAGGACCACAAATGTGTATTAAGAGAGAATCAGAAATGCCAGGATGGGGGAAAAAAGGCTACCTAATACTGAATGGTAACGTATTCTGAAACTATATTTCAGGGAGGGAAATAGGACCCAATTTATAACTTGTCATTTAAGACAAAAATAAAATAAAATAAAAACAGGATAATATAATAGCACGAACCAAATACTAATATAACTTCCCAAGCACCAAGGAGTATTTAGGGTCCATATATACACAATCATTCTCTAAGAAAGACAGAACTACGATGATGTTTTTATGGCAAAAAAAAAGGATCATAAAATCAGGGCTGACAGCAACAGAAATTCTGATCCCAGTTGTGGACATAAGTCAAGGACTACCTGAATTTGTTAAGAATATTTATATCCAGTTTTTTCTATAAGAAGTCAAGCAGGCTTAGGAGAATCTCCCTTCATTCTCTCCCTTCAACATAATAAAACCCATCTAAGTATTTTCGTTGGGTGAGTCACTGACCCAAAGCCATCCATTTTCACAGCTCAGCATGCACTTGGACCAGTTTTCCCAGCACATTTTACGCAGTTTAGGCCCAAATTGGAAGAGATTTTTTTGTTTGGACAAGAACCCTAATTTTTCACTACCCATGTCTATTCTTGTTTGAAAAGTATACGAAGGACGGCCTTATTAATGTTAATAGTTTCCTTATAAATACCTCAAATACCTTTGTGCAAACATAACATGCAAGCAAACTCCGCCTGGATTAGCCAAGGAGCTTTGCACAGTGATTTGGAATTTCAAGGGAGGAAAACTGATACGAAATTGTCAATTTGGTCATCTTTATAGTACAATTTGATCCTCCACGTATAATGAGCTTTAAGCTGGGGAATAACTCCAGGGTCAGGTGAAAAGAAATCTTTCACTAGAGAAAAAATGGTGATGCCGTTCATTGGGCAGGATTCAATGTCTTAGGAGATGAAGTGAGAACTGAAGAAGTGATCAGTTCTCTCAGGGTGGGATTAAGAGGTTCATTTTGAACAATGTTTCATCAAATTACTTTCAAAACAATTCTCCATCTCCCTTTTAAGCTGTGAATACAGAATATAGATATGGCCATGGAAGCCCACTCTGCATTATTGACTTGCCCACTACAATTTTTTTCTCTTCCAGAAATGTCAATGCAGTCCCAAACATCCAAAGCATCCCCACTTGTACCTCAGTTTTGTACAAGACTGTCCCCAAGGTGCTTTTTCAAAAGACAACTGGACTTCCTTTGTTTTTCCTTGAAGATGTTTCGCTTCTCATTCAAGAAGCTTCTTCAGCTCTGGACTGAAGAAGCTTCTTGGATGAGAAGCGAAACATCTTCAAGGAAAAACAAAGGAAGTCCAGTTGTCTTTTGAAAAGCACCTTTGGGACAACCCATGACAGCACTGAGACCGAGCATCTCCATAGACATTTTATACAAGAAGTCCACCTTCCACACAATAACTGGGCAGATTGAGATTTTCGTCATAGATTTTTCTTTTTTTCCAGTCATCCTCAAGAAAATTGGTTTTCCACCCCCTTATCTGTTATTTACACCACTTATGGACCTGAAAGTCATTTTTTTGCATTGACAGAGTTGGCCCACCAGAATCCATGTATCTGAAAATAAAACTAGATTAGAGAAGAACTTTGGAAGAAGTCAAGTTCTTCAGCTGGTATCCATTGTAAGGTGAGTGGTGAAAGTCACCAGACTTGGTGTGTTTAGCCAAGAAATCATGGTACTTTGTACACCTTTTCCTGAGGTTGTGTGATGCAAATTTCTTTGACCCAAGCAGAGGCAACGATATACGCCAAGAAAATACCTACCAAAATATCATTTGGTTGAGAGATAAACTAAACCCAGTTCAGTAATATTACTCAACATGAGAATGCTATTTTTGTAAGCACAACTGAATCTTCTGATTTTGCTTTTTTTCCTTCTTCTCAAAGTGTCATGTCATCCTATCTTAAATTTAGATGTCTTCCATCGCTAATTTGTGTAGTTTTCAGCCAAGCATTACAGAAAGCACCTTTTCTTCTCTCAGGGATGAACATTACAATATCCATCAAGTGTCTTTCTGAGGCAGATCCTAAATAAATCACATACCTCATTAGCAGGTGCATGATTACCTTTTTTATCCCAGCTTTGGGTTATTGTTATTTTTTCTCTTGAATTGCTGGAGGCCAGAAACAAAAGAAACAATCTGGAGTTCAAACACTCGGTTAACCTGACAATAACCCCAATACAAGAGTGCATTATATTAAAAAAAGCTGGGATGTTCCCAATTGCATGATTCTTATATTTAAGGCACAGTTGACTGAGTTTTGGTTGATCTTGGCCTTCTCATTGACCCCAGGCAGTAAATTCTTCCTCCTTTATCCACAGCTTCTTCCTTTTGCTGTTCAAATAGTTTGTCAGCAAATTATCCAGTTAATAAAGTGCCAGTGATGACAGTTTTTCCAAACATGGTGAGACCTAATTGTGAGCCTGATCAAGCAAAACAAACAGAGAAAGAGAGAGGGAGAGGAAGGGAAAGTGCTCAGAAGGGTAAAGAGAAATTGATTCATGAATTCTAAGACTCCTCCGTACTTAAAGACATTGAATTATACACTGTATGGAATTTATTTAAAAATAGAACGAAGATGAACATTAGTTACTTGCCTGAACTGTGGAACAAAGAGTTTGACTATCCAATCCATGGGTGTTGGTTTTAAGAAATGTAAAATATACCTCTTATGATTTAAATCAGTGGTTCCCAACCTTTTCTCTACCCTGCACCCCTAGAACGCTTCTAATATATTCTCGTACCCCTTACAAAAGTTTGAAATAACGGCAACGAATTATGCATATACACTATAATTTTGAAAACCCAAGTTTTCCCACCCCCTGGAATATCATCTCGCACCCCTGGTTGGGAACTCCTGATTTAAAGGATGAAGATAAAACCCATCAGAAAATATTATTTCATGTCTAAAACAACAGATGTTTTAAAAGGTTGGATGTCAAATTTGTGTGTGTGTGTGTGTGTGTGTGTGTGTGTGTGTATGTCTATGTGTTGGCATTTAAAGAGATTTTAGGGCTCTTTATATTATTTAGTCTTGTCCTATCATAGCTTTGGATGGATGGATGGATGGATGGATGGATGGATGGATGGATGGTGGATGGATGGTGGATGGATGGATGGATGAATCCACCATCGCACATATCATTCTCAAATTAATTCTACTTCAGCCTTCTCAGCCAAGCCTAACCCAGGCCTGCAATTTGAGTGTGAGCTCCACCTACTTTTGCCTTGTAGCCATTGAAGCCATTAGCCTACTACCCCCTACATTATGAAGTCACCATGAAGTTGTTCACCAGTGTGTTAAGGCAATAAGCAGACCCAAAATACATTCAGATCCGTTCTTCTGTTTTGTCTGCTAGGGATTGTTTTCTTTGGACTTATGCAAATACATGCATACATGCTACCAGTTTGCCCTTGAAACATTCCCTGTGATGGAATGTCTTTTCCTAATGGGTTGTTTTACAAAAACTGGCAAAGGAGGTGAGACTATCGTAATGCTCCCTTGAGCCTGGGAGGAACGTACAAATGCCTACCAAGGAACGTTGGGGCCTCCTTCTCTTCTCAGAGACCGTTCTTGGAAACAATAGCCTCAGTGTTTCCACCAGATAATGGACATGTTAGAACAGATGAAGGGGTTAGCTCATCTTGTTTGTCTGCCAGCCTCCAGAGAGCACACCTTTCTCTTTTGGCACCACTGACAGATTTCATCAGCCAAGGCAAGCCTGAATTCACCCCAAGTGCTATGGAACAAAAATATAATTACTTCTGTCATTCAGTGAAGTGGTGAATAGTTTGCATACTGGGTTGTGACTGAGAGTTAATTCAAACCCATCAAACTCACAAGCTCAACTTCTTCTGCCTCCAGATGGGATGATTAATATTTTTTTTTAAAAAAAGGTTTGCAGCCAAATACACACACACACACACACACACACACACACACACCCGTTCACCCACACCCATGCAAAGGCACATAATGTGCACATTTTTCCCATCGTGAAGATATGTTTGTCAGAGCAGTCAACGAGAATGTGGATTATCAATTATCAGATGATAGCAATGATAGAGATGTTAATTTTTTTCCAAGGGGTAAATGAAAATTATGGGGCCAGGGCTACACCTGCCAAACTCTTTCCATTTTGAGATGATTTGGAGAGAAGTGTGACCTGAAACAGTGATTAATATCAGAGTTACGGGAGAAGATCTAAGCTTCCTTTCGTAATATACAATAACTGAGAAAAGAATAATCATTAACAATTTAACTGAAAAGTTGTTTCATAAAGAACCAACCCAGAGACAACAATTTTAGCACTGAGAAGACCAGATTAGAAATGACAAGATGACAGCAAATGGCTACAAGGATAAGTCTTCCCTGCAGTCCTATATTGTATATAAGATGACTTAAAGATAGCCCCCACTTAATTCCATGGAGATTCCTTCCAGGTTGATTGATATAAGATTGCTGTCTTAATGTCTATATGATCCATGATTATGACTTTTCACGCAGATGTGTCTTCTAGTAAAGACACATTCTAAGATTCTTCTCCAAGTTGACATATACTTTGTGCAACTCTGTGCTATCCAAGGCTTTATCTCAGGGGTCTTCTAACTCAGGGCTTCTCAATCTTTTCACCCCTTGTACCACTTTTAGGATATAGCAACATCTGAGTACCACCATTCACCTAGCAAGGTGTCAAAAACTTGATTATCACTTTTTTCCTTTTTTTTTTTTTTGATCAAGTACAGGTAGTCCTCGACTTACAACAGTTTGCTTAGTGACTGAAGTTACAATGGCACTGAAAAAAGTGCCCCCCAAGCCACAGCCAAGCAAGACACCTGCCTGCCTACCCAGCAGCGCACTTCCTCCTGTCCAAGGTTTTCATTGTTGTGAGCATTTCTGTTGAGGATTGGCAGCGGAGGTGGGATGGGGGGTGTTTGGTTTTTATTCCCCCTGTCTGCTGGGTGGTTAAAGCAGGTTTTGGTCACTTCACATGACCCTGGGACATTGTGACCGTCATAAATATGAATCAGTTGCCAAGCATCTGAATGTAAATCACAAACCCTGGAGATGCTGCAACATTCCAGCTGATCCTGGCGCTTCTTCTGGGCTCAGCAGAAATGCCAGGATCAGTGCTGCTTTCCAGCTGATTGATGCTTCTTCAGGGCTCAACAGAAGCACCAGGATCAGCACTGAGCTCCCGCTGGATCCTGGCGCTGATCCTGGCGCTTCCACTGAGCCCTGACAGCCCCGAAGAAGCGCTGATCGGCTGGAAAGTGGCACTGATCCTGGTGCTTCCGCTGAGCCCTGACAGCCCTGCAGCTCCAGCCGTCTCTCGCTCAGGCTTGTGTGGTGCTGCCACCAGTTCAGCTCATTCCTCTCCCCCGCTACCTTTTCTAGGATGGTTGCGTACCACCTGCCAGGCATACTGGCTGAGGAATTCTGGGAGTTGAAGTCCACAAGTCATAAAAGGGCCAAGTTTGAAGACCCCTGCTTTATCTGATACCATCATCATTGTTTGGAGTTATCTGGCAAGCTGTAATACTCTTTTCAAGTACATGGGAATGCAGGCTATTAGTTATCTTCAGTCTCACTATAGCTATAGGTCATAGACTCATAGGACTGGAAGGGACATAAGTACGTATGAACACAAGCAGTGCTTTGCTGAATGAGATTGCTGGCCTATCTAGTCTACCAGTTTGTTCTTATAGTGCTAACCAACTGTACAAGGAAGCCCATGAGTCTTAACCTTCAGAGGCAGTCCACTGCCATCAAAGCCAATAGCCATTGATCCCCAGGACTTCCAGCAAATAGTCCAACCCCCCTTTTTAAAAGCTAATTAAGTTGATAGCCATCACCTCATATCAAAGTAACATAGAAAAGAGAGAGAGAGAGAGAGAGAGAGAGAGAGAGAGAGAGAGAGAGAGAGAGAGAGAGAGAGAGAGAGAGAGCAGATTCCATTGACTCTTTTATTTACACATTTTATTTTTAATTAAAAAATAAAGGTTATCTTGATACAGTTCTTTGCAGCATCTGGGCAAAATATGCACCCTTTAACAAGACTGTAGGAAACAAGATAGTTATTTAAACTTTGGCACACAGGACTGGAAAATAAAAGGCAATCCTCTCCTGCAAAGTTTTCTTCCCAGGTTCATGACTTGTTTTCCTGCTGATGTCAAGGATGGATGGTTCAGCCCTTCTCATCTGAAGAGCATTACTAAACAGGAGAAATGGCAACAACAACAACAACAACAACTGGAACTTTCCAAATCCAGTGGAAAGTGATGGGCAGAAAGACTCTCCCTGAGCTGATCTGAAATGATCTGATTATAGGACTTGGAGTCCACAAGTCTTAAAGTTGCCAAGGTTGGATACCCCTGATCTATATTGTTACGGTTTGAATGTTGGCTCCAGGGCCATCCACCAAGGGGTCAGGAACATCAAGATGGCAGTCCCAATGACTAGATCAAAGCCCCGCCCCTTCCTCATCTGCATCAGATGGGCAACCCGGTAAAATAAGGGCAGCTCTCAGACAGTTGTGCCTGCTCTCTTGATTCTTCTGTCAGTCCCAAGAACCCCCGGTCTGGTTCACAGGTATATTTTCTTTAAAAACTGGATTGCATCACAATAGCATGTCTATTTCTGGATCTCATTACTTAGAAAAATATGGTTAATTGAATTAGTGATGACATTTTTCCAACAAGTGAGCAATTACTGCCTCATTCTTATACAAAGAGAGGCTTGTGAGATTGGGCTGTTTCCAGTAATAACTACACTGACAAATTTCAGATCCCAGGAACTGACCTGATCTTTGTTTCAGCCATTTGCACATAGATTAAAAATTCAAATAACTCTGAAGCTACTGCCCTCACCAAAAATTTTAATACAGTCTTGGCACAAAGACATCAAAAATATTTGCAAGCCCTTCCCTCGAGGGAAACAAACATTTAAAAAATACAAATTGTGTGCAGGAACAAAGAACATTTTTAAAACAAGCTTTCAAATACCATTTGGATGCATGCCTTTGATGCATTGTTTAAAATGATGATTTCGTTTTTTTTTTAAAAAATGGAAGAAACTTACAAAGAAGAGAGCAACTGAGGCCAAAGGAAAACCCTAGTTGCTGCTCCTTAATATAAACTGGCCAGAGCTGAACGTATAAAGGGTAAACTGGCTTTTGATTATGGCAGCTTAAATTCTTAACAGTTCATTGCACAGATACCCTCGGGGAAATACTATATGCTGGTGTTTTGCTTGGAGCCCAATTTGCTCCCCTATTAATTTCCACTTCATTTCCAGGGTAATACAGTATTCCAGATGATTGAAGGGAAGATTTGCTGCAGAGATCCAGTAATGTTTTCTCTACTGAAAGAAACCATTAAACTGCATGCACTGGCATTCTGCTATACACATTGACTCAAGGGTTCTCTAGAAGAAATGAGTCAGCCTGGCAGTGATCCAGTTACGGAAGACTCTAGTGCAAGAACTTTTCAGGGCATACTTATGCCCAACTGGATCCCTTTTCAGTCTTCAATACCCCCACACAAGCCTCTTCTATTAAGTCAAACCTGGACCACAATCTAGATCAGGGGTCCCCAAATTTGGCCCTTTTATGACTTGTGGACCAACTCCCAGAATTCCTTAGCCAGGCATGTTGGCTGAGGAATTCTGAGAGTTGAAGTCCACAAGTCATAAAAGGGCCAAGTTTGAAGACCCCTGATCTAGATAGAGAGTACAAGGGGATTGGAGAATGCTATTATGTCACCTGCCTCTTGTTTTGCCTTTCTACTCAGAAAAGCAAGTTGAGTAAATGGCAAAGCTGGGTTGGCAGTATCCATTCAAACCTGCCACTGATCAACCCCAGAACACTTAGGGCCTTGACATGCTCCTCAAAATTCCAACCTCTGATGTTGATTTTGGTATTGCATGGAACAATATAATTTACTTACAATGCAATGGAGACAAAGAGTAGCCAGGATGGAACTATGCATATCAGCCATAGTTCTAGATTGCAACTTCAGCTTACTGAATATCTAAAAGCAGCCCCCCCCCCCCCGATCTCTGTTGACCAAATCAATATATTTGCTGTCAAGGGAGCTCTTCCTAGGACAGTTGTTTGTTCTCCCTTTCCTGGTGGCTTAAATGATCTTTTAAGGAATGAGCTCACCTGAGACTCACAATTTGAGAGCATCATTAATATTTCTTTTGACTGCCACCAGGCTCACTCACTGGCCAGCATAATGGTAGACCACTGACATCCCCTTGTTTTGAAGGGCCCATGAAAAATGCTTTGCATTGGCACTTTTACAAAATACAACAGTGGGAATCCTGTTCTCTCTGTCTTTGGTAGTTGCTGCTTAGAATCCATTTTAAAGCATCCTGAACAATTATAACAACAACAGCAATTATGGCAAGATAAAGAACCAGTATATTCAGCATGCTGAAGTCCTTAAAACACTTCTTCTCATGAAAGCATGAGGAGTTGACTCGCTTGGGTGTTTCGGAAGCTCCAATCTCTAAGCATGCAGTTTATTTGGAGAAAGATTCCAGGATATGTGTCGGGAAAGTGTATCCTTGACCCTGGGAGTCAAGAAATCATCCTGGTTAACATTGGATTTTCTCATCCAACTGTCACCTACCACACCGATTGATTTCTTAAGGCACAAGGTACAGGGAAATCCAGTTTATGCATTGTCCCCTGGGGAAGCTTTGAGATGGCTCTTAACTTGAGGTTGTCAGCCCTGGAGATGCCTCTGCTATGTGTTTAGGAGATCCATCGGTTTCTGAAAAGGAGCCCAACTGCTCCTTGGTCAACCCACAGTCTTCTTCTGATTGGCTTTCCTTCAAGACCTCTGGCTGAGTTTGGCTGCTCAACTTTTCTTCCGCTTCGATTTCCTCTGAGGTGGGAATGGAATTTTTCTTTGGGCGGCCTTTGGGTTTTGTGGGGGCCTCCTGTCCGCCTTTCAAGACCTGGAATAAAAATAAATGAAGCTGTTTATGGCTATACTGAGATCCTGCTGTCCAAGTTACAGAGAGGCGAATGGATCGATTTTGGCTTCTTTGTGTTGTCTCCATCTTAAGTTTATTTTGCTCTATACCCTACATTGGTTGGTGTTAAGAACCCCCTCCTCCCCATTATTAACAACATTTTGTGCATTTTTGCTTAATTTATACATGTGACAAGCCATTTCCCCTAATTCAGTGTTTCTCAACCTTGACAATTTTAAGGCATGTGGACTTCAACTCCCAGAATTCCACAGCCAGCATTGTTGGCTGTGGAATTCTGGGAGTTGAAGTCCACATGCCTTAAAATTGTCAAGGTTGAGAAACACTGCCCTAATTTATTACATGCTCACCTATTATTTTTCCTGATTCATACATTTATGGATAAAAATACCTATTTTATCGTTATTTTTGGGCAGGAGCAACTCGTGTTTTAATATATGCACTGTTGAATGAGAGGTGAGTCAGATGTGCAATTAAAAGCAAGTAGAAAACATTCTTCCTATGTCATGAACACTAGTCATTGGTATTCCAGGCAGCTCATTATTTTACATTTATTGATTTATTTATCACATCTCTATATCTCCTATCTCCATCCCATCATGCCATCCCCTCAAGTTCCCCTATTTTATCATGGTGTGAATTCTGGAGATGACAAACAAAAGACTAGAGTCAAAAATCACTAGAGACAAAAATCACACCAGTGCACAAAGCACAACTTCATATGTAATCCGGCATGGATTAACTGTAATATTGTTTCATATTGTGGACAAAATAAAGATTTCTTTGTCAAAGGCTAAACATCCTTAGGCCACAAAGACAGAAACTATACAAAGTCCTTGTCCAAACAAAAAAAAAATGATGAATCAATACACACAAATATTTACAAAACTCAGAGATGACTACAAGTTAGGGTTAAAAAAATAAGATGGGGCACTCAAAACTCAATCAAAGAGCCGAGGTGGTGCAGCAGTTAGAGTGCAGTACTGCAGGCCACTTTAGCTGACTGTGTTCAGCAGGTCAGCGGTTCAAATCTCACCGGCTCAAGGTTGACTCAGCCTTCCATCCTTCCGAGGTAGGTAAAATGAGGACCCAGATTGTGGGGGGCAATGTAAATATATATATATATATATATATATATATATATATATATATATATATATATATACATTGCTTATTGGTGTACACTGCTTAGAGAGTGCTTGCACTTAAAGCGGTATATAAGTCTCATAAATAAATAAATAAATCCATTTTTAGCTGTGTTTTACTAACAGGGCTTTGATATACCACTTTGATATTATGGTCACCATCTTGACTTTTTGACCATACCTTGTAAAGAACCCTGACGTCACTTATTTTTTTTGGGGGGAGGGGGAGTGGATAGACTTAATTATGGTTGCTAGAGACACCCTGAAATCAACTGATATATTTCTCAGGGTCAACTTCATTCCTGTTGAAGTCACTCAACTGACACTCAGTCTAGCCACTAGGACTCTCACTGAATTCTGTAAATCAGGGGTCCCCAACCCCCGGTCTGTGGACCAGTGCCAGGCTGCAGTATGTCAGCAACGGGTCCACACAAACAAGCAAAGCCCCATCTGCGGGATGCAGGCAGCACACAAAACCACGCACTCTCTGGTCTGTGGAAAAACCTTTTGGTGCTCAAAAGGTTGGAGGCCTCTGCCATAAATGCTTACCATTTTTTTCCATTTCATCCTGCGATTTTGATACCAGGTTTTCACTTGGAGTTGAGTGAGGCCGAGTGACTGAGCAAGATCCAGCCTAGAAGAGAAACTATCCAGATTAATGAACAAGAAGAAGCACGTGACATCATCATTCATTACAAGACTTGATTACACTGCAACTTATTGAAAGTGAGCAAATGGTTCATCCACACTGTTGTGTGGATCAAGAGACCAGCAGCTTAATCGGACATGATAGTGATTAGAGAAGACCCATGACTAATGATCAAACAAGAGCAACGATCACAATATTAGTCGTTGTAAGGTTTCTAAGCAAGTCACACCAAACTCAATAGGAAGTTAGTCTAAGAAAGCAAACAAAGGCCTGCGCTGTAAATTTGCTTTTTAAAAGTAAACATTTTAATTTGCTTAGGACTGTATTAACTAAACAGTTCTAGGCATTGGATTTTCTTCTCAGCAGGGATGCTGGGTACTATTTCTACAAGTTCTGCTTTCAGGTTACGTAAGGTCAGTTGGGTCGTGCCTGTTCAGAATTTTAAAAAAAATTGTTATGTTAAGACTGACCCTGTAAAAAAGGAATATGTAGCTTCCTCTGGTTCAGAATATAGAATAGAATAGAATGGAATGGAATGGAATAGAATAGAATAGAATAGAATAGAATAGAATAGAATAGAATAGAATAGAGCTGGAAGGGACCTTGGAGGTCTTCTAGTCCAGCCCCCTGCTCAAGCAGGAGAACCTATACTGTCTCAGACAGGTGAATGTCCAGTCTCCTCTTAAAAATCTCCAGTGATGGAGCACCCACGATTTCTAGGGGTAAGCTGTTCCACTGGTTGATTGTCCTCACTGTCAGGAAGTTTCTCCTCAATTCCATGTTGTTTCTCTCTTTGGTCAATTTCCAACCATTGTTTCCCCTCCTTCCATCTGGTGCTTTGGTGAACAACCTGCCCCCCTCTGCCTTGTGGCAGCCTCTCAGATACTGGAACACTGCTATCTTGTCTCCTCTATGTCTTCTAGCTGCACTAGATGTTATGTGGCGTGCTGAGAGTCACGCTGCAGAACTGAATGAAGCCAGAGTCCATCCTGAAGAGAGCATCAGGAGTTTCAAATGGTATTTGAAGCAACTGAAAAAAATACGGCATCTATTTTTCCCTTTAATTCCTCTCAAGATAATGTTTTGGCCCCAGCTGTTCTACTGGGGGGGGGAGAGGCTCTAAGAAGCCATAAATCTAATAGGTGAGCCTGCCACTTTAAATATGTTTATCTCCATTATAAAAACCTTTAAGACAAAAATAGGAAAAAATATTTTTCCCTGCTGGGCAAACTGGAGTATTACATGATCCACTAAAGAAAAAAAAAGAAAAGAAAGCTGGACAGTATCTACCAAATCAAGTGTAAAATTGGTGGACAAAGTCAAGTTCTTTATTGCACGTTCACAAGTCAGATGAGCTGCCTAAACAGGAAATATCTTCATCCCAGTTGTGAGAAACTGGGGATTAAAATGTTTGATCTACTGTCTCTCGGAGATCTGGCCAAGGGCAACCAATTAATTCTTTCTTTTTAGAAATAGGAAACTAGTGTGGCTGAGAAATGTTAAAGCAAGAATAGTTATGGCAGAAGATTTTTATTTTGCTTTCCCAAAGTAAAACTTCTGGAGTTGGACAACTTGGCTGAGCCATTGATGATTATAAAGATCTACAAGAATACCTTGTTCTACTTTCTGCTTTCCCCTTCTTTTCACTGCTTTTAAGCCCAGCACCATCTTTCCTAACATGACAAATAGCAGAAGGTATTCCCCTAACATCAGAACTGTATTTACCTAATCATTCCTTCAGAGCTGGAATTTCAGAGTGAAGCTCATTCACTTGAATGAAACTTGCTGGTACTGCTCATGAGTTATGCTTTTTCCATGATTAATATTAGTGAACTGGAACACAAACAGTGTGGAGGCAACATAAACAAACATGATGCACCTTGTCTTGTTTCACGCACTAGCAGTTGCATAATGAATGGTTTTGAATTAGTTCAAAATTTTCCAACCAATTTTTTTTCTTAAGATGCCTTTCCCAGCATAAACAATACACTCTGTCCCTAGATTGCAGTTGTGGAACAGTGGCGGAAGTATTTGTACTTTGTTTGGAAACAAGTGACTATGTATATAGGCTGAGTTCATACAATTTGGCATGCTGGGTTAACAAAACACAGTGTACTGCTCGCCACTTAATAGGCTATGTCCAAACAAAGGTATCATATTATAGCCGTGGTGGTGAACCTGTGGCACGCGGAGCCCTCTCTGTGGGCACGCGCACCATTGCCCCCAGTCCTAGGTCTTCAGCTGGGTTTTATAAAACCTTTTCGCTTTGGGCCTCCACCACCATGTGCAAAAAAAAAAAAAAAAAAAAAAAAGGTTCAATCAATCAATCAATTTCAACTTCTCGCAAGAAAAAAAAAGATCTCGCAAAGTTGGAATTGATTAATTGAACTTTTTAGTCCCACCCAGTCTGCCGTTACCATCTCAGTCACACCCACCCAATGGGCCACACCCACCTGGCACCTGATGATACATAAGTGGGTTTTGGGCTGCAGTTTGGGCACTCGGTCTCTAAAAGGTTCGCCATCACTGTATTATAGCTTAATGTGATGACCTGGTTCCTACAACATGCTAAGACAATGAAGGGCTCCCATACCTTGATGAACAGAGACCATCAAACACATTTGGTCTAATATAACAAATTGGATGAACCCAACTGAAAAATCTTGTAAGGGATCAGATCATGGGAAGTTGCTAGGAGCATGGTGGAGCTTGTACAGATTGTGAGTTTAGCAAGTCCACGTTCAAGACCCGAGTGCTGCCATGGGCCAGGGCGAGCGCTCGTCCTTCACTCCAGCTCCTGCCAAGGACATGAAAGGAACCCCCAATAATGATAATTGGATAATGATGATAATGGCTAAAAGGATAATGGTGATGTCACTGGCTAATCCTATCAATCCAAAAGCACCTCAGTGCTTCTGACACAAGTGCAATGTGATGGGAAGTCACTTACATTGAACTAGAACAGGGTCCCAATCAGTTTGAGCAAAGAATCTAAAAACCTTCCAGCTCTTTGGGGTTTTATCAACCTGTCATTACAAGCAATGGTGAGAGATTTTATCTATCATCCACAACTGAAAGTGCCCCTTCAAATCATATTTATTTTGTTTTTCAGCTATCCAAGGCTGCAGAGGACATAGAGAAGAAACAATGGTGTCATCTATCAAAGGCTTACTGCCCTTATTTTTAACTTCTCCACAAAGCAGAAAAATCCTAGTCCTGTGATTGGGTGGTATGATTTTATGGGTTTCCTGGGGCTCACCACAATTTTCTCCTTATCCATGAATGTCCATGCAATCCTTGTTTGAAATCCCCTATGCTAGCAACCCATAGGCTTATATCTTAGGGCAGCGAGATTCATCAAGACGTTATTTTCAGAATCTCCAACCCCTCATCATTTTATTGCCCAGAAAATATTCTGAGAAATTGGATACCACAATGTACTATCCCTTTTATGGTGGAAAGGAGAGGCCTTTTGACAAAGTACATGTGCCCCTTCCTTATCAAATAAACAAATAGATTTCCAAGTTTTCACGTATTAGGGGCGAGTCTCCCCCATTCCATTGCCAAAGGGAAATGTATCAGATCAATCTTCTTGGGCCAGATAATACATGCCTATCATGGCTAGACTGCCTGTAACCCTTTTGGGTTGCTGGCCTGTGGAAAACTACTGATGGCTGCCTAGGAAACAGAAGCAACAAACACAAAGAGTGAGGCATAAAGCCGCTAAAATTGCCCTTGCACATCGGGCTTAGTCATGTACGATGCTGAGCAATATTAACACCAGCCAATTCAAAGAGCAGTAGTAGCCTGAAAATGTGATCAAGAGGCCTGTGGCTGATAGGCTCTTGGGAATTACAGTATAGGCCATTGAGAATTACAGGGAACTTGGGAATTACAGTTCAACAAGATCTAAAAAGAGCACGCTTCTTCACTATAATGTTTAAGGCCAGGCAAAGATTTGGAGATAGTTAGGATATTGTCAGGTGCAAGCAACCCCACACAGGATAGGTTCAAATTGACCATTTTATTGTAGTCTACCTATAGTACAAGAATCTCCCCAGACTGCTTGTGGGAACAAAGAGATAAGCTTCTTGAACTTCAGGGGAAGATCAGGCTTATGCCTCTTGTGGCTGAGCAAGGATTCAAGGCTAGTTCCCGCTTGATAGCAATAGCAGAAGCACTTAGACTTATATACCACCCCATAGTACTTTCACAGCACTCTCTGGGTAGTTTACAATGTCAGCCTCTTGCCCCCAACAATCAGGGTCCTCATTTTACAAACTTGGAAGGATGGAAGGCTGAGTCAACCTTGAACCCTATCAGGATCGAACTCCTGGCTGTGGACAGAGTGAGCCTGCAATACTGCAGTTTAACCACTGAGCCACCAGTCCTCTTGATCCCTCTTCCTTGCTGGCTGGGAGTTCCCCAACGGATATAAAGTCAAACTATGGCATTGCTATTATCTGTACAAGCTAGATGAATGTGACTTCCTTCTTTGATACAGTTGATTCTTCTTTAAAACTAATTAAAATTATGCTCCATTCAGACGGCTTTCCTTCCACCAACAAGGGTTAGGGTTAGGGTTAGAGTTAGGGTTAGGGTAACAAAGGCAATGGACTAAACCCTTCATGTTCTGAATTTCAGGATCCAGAACCCAATCTAGAATGAAACTCCCACACTTTTAATTCTACTTTTTGTTCCGTCATTAATTCTGGGATTCTTGTTACATGATGATGATCAAACAACAGTGAAAACCAAGAGCTGGTTTCCTTCTCCACACCGGCTCCTATTTGCTATCTGCTGATTGCATATTTGCTCTCAGCTAGTGGAAATAATTTGATTCTCCCTTTCATAGGAAACAAGCTTCTAAGTATCCCTGCCCATAAATCTATGCTGGCAAGTATGCACGTATCCAACACACTCACAGCCTGGTATGTGTTTTCCACTGATATGATCTATTCATGTAGCCTTTGATTCTAAGGGAAGGGTGCTTTGAAATCTGATCCGATTATGTGTCCGAGCCTTCAGACAAGAGCAGGCTCATCTTCACATGCTTAGGAACTATCATGGTCCACTCAGCACCTGAACAGCTGAGAGGAGCAGGGCTTAGGGACCCCACTCTGTTATGGCTGGAAAGACAGCCTCATCTTCAATGCTTGCTTGAGAAACAGACTAAACTCTGCCTGGGATTTCCTTTCTGAAGTGGTGATATGATGAGGCCAAAATGGTGTCTGGTTTTAGAAGGTTAAAACTAGGTATTTTGAATTTTAAAGCATCTGCCTGATTAGTCTTTTCTCCCCTCCATAACATATAAAGTAGCTCGCTCTGTCTTTCAAGGCTGCTAACAATTGTTGTTAGGGGATAATTTTGTGTGGTTCGTTTTTATTGGTCATTTTTATTGGTTTTATTTATTGGTCATTTTATGGATTCATTTTATTGGTCAGTGACTGGAATAAAGTTCTTTCGCTCTAGCCTTCAAACACAAATCACTATTCCTGCCAGGATACATTGCTCTGCTTGAATTAATCTAAATCTAAAACTTCTGAATGTCTTTTTTTCAAATGGTAAATGTAGAAGCTATTTCCCCTTTTACTGTTAAAAATGTAACTGAGACAAAAAAACATTCTCCTTCTATGTTAGTTGTTACCCACATGTCCCTTAGCTGGCCCTACCCATTAACCATTTGGGACTCTCATCAAAGATAACAGAAAATTAATGGTGCAGGGTCAGGTCCCTATCCAATCTCCTCCCTTTGAGAACAGAGTTGTGTATGCAATTGGAATAAGGAGAGGATCTTAATCTGTTCGTAGGAATGTTTAAACAGCCACTGTTTTGAACAGCCCCATAATTTGTGGATTACATGAGTATCCAAGAAAGTAAAAGATAATTCTCGTTTTGCAAATCCTGGCTCTTCTAGGCTCCAGTATATGGGACTTTGAGGAGTAACTGTCTCAAAATCTTCAGTCAAGTACTGACAATAGGGACTCCTACCACTAGAGAGAAAAGGGGTAAATAGCAGTAGCACTTAGACTTCTATACCACTTCACAGTGCTTTGTGGCCCTCTCTAAGTGGTTTACTTAGTTGGCTTGTTGCCCCCAACAATCTGGGTCCTTATTTTACTGACCTCAGAAGGATGGAAGACTTCCTTTTCTTCCAATTGTCTTAGACTTTGTAGAAGGATCTTTTATTACTATAATCACAATTTAGCCTTCACCCACTCGTTATTTTGAATGATCTAACATAGAGTAGTAGTCAAAGCTCTCTATAAGTATATTATAACAATCTGGCTCATGCAGGATTTCTGCTGCCTTCTTAAAGGCCACTAAGTCTCACTTCACAAAGAGAAACTTCTAATACTGGCGTCCAATGCCACCATACATACTAGTCCTCAAGGCACAACTGAATCTTGAGTTCAATCCACTTTCAAAGATTGTCCAAAGCTGGAGTATTCAGAAGACAATTTTACCATGCTGAGACTGCAGAAGTGATTGGTGGGTGAGTTCCTAAAGTGGAACTTGACACAGGCATATCCTTCTCAATAGCAACTTGCTCTTAGAACCCTGCTAGTGCAGAAATCAAAACCTAAATGACCTCAATATGCTTTAGATCAGGGGTCTTCAAACTTGGCCCTTGTATGACTTGTGGACTTCAACTCCCAGAATTCCTCAGCCAGCATGCCTGGCTGAGGAATTCTGGGAGTTGAAGTTCACAAGTCATACAAGGGCCAAGTTTGAAGACCCCTGCTTTAGATTCTAAGTCCTGTGCTCCCTTGCTCTGCCCATGCTGGCTGAGGTTGACAGGAGTAGAAATCCAAGACATTTTAAAAGCGCCAGGTTGCCCATCAAGGCATCAATGGCTTCTTTTTATCACAAACCAGTTGGGTTGCCCTCTCACTCACTCATTCACTCACTCATTCACTCACCCGACCCAATCTTTCCTCAACCAACCTGTCTGGGGTGGACAGGTACTTCTGCTTTTGGAATTTCTTCTCTAGTCCCATCAGCTGCAACTCTGTGAAGATGGTCCGGCTGCGGCGAGGCTTTTTCAAGGGGAGGGTGGGCTGCTCTGTCTCGGATTCACTGCTTCCATGAGTTTCGTTGGCTTGGGTCTCTGAACAGGTGCCCGCCGAAGGTGGGAGTGGTGAGAGAACCCTAGAGGTGGTCACTGCAGGAATGAAGTGAGAGACGGCTGAAGGCTGTCTGGTGATGACAGAGATGAGTGGATAAGCCCGAAGAGAAGAGGGACCTGGGAAATAAGCATCAGAAAGAAAGGTGTTACTGAGAGAAGTCCCAGCTCTACTTTGAGGAAGATTTGATTAACACATAGTACAGTGGTCCCCAACTTTTTGGGCACCAGGGACCGGTTCTGTGGAGAGAGGTTTTTCCATGTGTGGTTTTGTGTTGCCTGCATCCCACGGATGGGGCTTTGCTTGTTTGTGCCGACCGGTTGCTGGCATGCTGTGGCCTGGTACTGGTTCACGGACTGGGGGTTGGGGACCCCTGTCATAGTACATAGTAGATACGATAAGTACATAGATTGGGACCACCAAAGACAGGGTAGAGGCAATCCTTCTTTTCAGCACCTTCGTTTCCCTTCTTTCATTTTAAAAACCATGTTCCAGACACAGCAGCAAGCTTTAAGTCATTACCTACAGCAGTGGTTCTCAACCTGTGGGTCAGGACCCCATTTGGGGTCAAACGACCATTTCACAGGGGTCGCCAAACAACGCAGTCCGCCACTTTTTCCCCCTTTTCCTTAGCTGTGCTACTCCCTTTTATTCTATTGGCTTTTGAAAGCCAATAGAATAGACTCTCTTGAATAGAGTCTAATTCTATTGGCTTTCAAAAGCCAATAGGAATTGTCCAGGCTGTCTCTGCCCTGCTGAGCCCGCCAAAAGTCCCATTCTGCAAATGGTGCTGCAGCCGTTGAGTAGTCCTTGACTTAGACCAGTTGAGTAGTCCTTGACTTACGACCGGTTGGGGGTCGCGGCATTAAAAAGGTTGAGAACCACTGACCTACAGGCACCAATTGATTGGGGTGGTGTTGGAAAAGAGAGGGTTTTATGAGGACAAGAAAGGTGATTTTTCTCCTCCCTGTCCAATGTCCTCAGTCTTGAATGGATCACCATGTGTTTTCAATCAAATGTATAAAATCATAAACCTGCAACAGGAAGATATGCAGATTGCGTGTGATCTAGTTACGGCCTAGGCAGCTCTTCTAGCCTCCAAAATGCCCCTTGCTCTGATTTTCATCCTTCAACTCCTTGGGAATTAGCACTGGAAGAGCCAAGGAACAGAGCATTAAGGCATGGCTGGCAGTCACCTTCTTACAAGCGGGAAAGAAGAATTTATGACTTCAAGAAATTCATCTATAGCACTGAAGGTAAAGAAGTTTTAGTGGAATGATCATAAACCTCGTTTTTTCCCCCTTAATTTAAAAAGAAATTTACCATTTATTGGCAAGCATAGCCAGCTTCACAAATCAACACAATGGAGGCTATTATGAAATAAATATAATTTACCTTACGGTGCTAGAGAAGAAGCTGCAATTGTCTGTAGAGGTTTAAGAGGGCATTGCCTCCATTGGAAGTTTGGACAGATCAATTTATTTTTTGTCTGGACTTGTTTGGCATATCTTTGCTGAAAAATTCAGCATTTCTAAAGCCTGTTATAAATGGCCATTGTTTTTGTTTGCACTTCTCACATTTTTATGCATTTGATACTTGAAAAACTTTGGTTATCTGGAGCGTTCTTTATTCTGGAATATCTACCTTTAATGAATGTCGGTATGTTTTCTGAATAAAAGGAGAATTAAAAACCCATGACAGAAAGGTTTTGGCCCAAGTATTTAGAGCCACGAGTGTCAACCAAGTCAATGTGTTTAAAACACAAGCCAAAAACATTCACAAGTGTGTGTTTGTGCATATGTAAGCTGGTATACTTTCCACTTTACTTAAGCACAAATGCTTGCAAATAAGTAAAACATTGCTAATTTTTAATTATGTTGAAGGAGAAAACATGGCAGCAGGGTCAACATCGCAAAGAAACAGCATAGCTTACTTAAACGCTTTTTGCAATCATGATTTCTTCCACAATTTTCAAGCAAACTGCAAAAGCCATTAAAAAATAGTAAACCAATAACACTCCAAAACTATACTCAAACACACAACCACACGCACACAAAGTCTGGAAGATTGAAATCATTATAGGGAAGCATTCTTTAGCAAGGTCTTTCTTCTCGGCATATTAAAGTTGTTGGGCTAATGGTTCCTATTTGGGTGGGATTCAGAGACAAGAATGCCCTGGGTGACTGCAGTTTGGGAGAGTCAAACATGGTTTAAGAAAAGGGCAGCGAGTAGAAACATCAACATCAACTCACTGGGGAAATGAAAAGTAACAAGCTTCTCTGATAGCCGACATAGGTAAAAAGTTATGCTGGATCCAAAAAATAAATCTGGTTTTTCCTAACCTTTGTCTTTCAATTTCATGAAAAAGGAAGTGCTTCTGCTTTTTTTGAGGGGGGGGGAGGCTCCCAAGGAGAAGAACAGTTTTGTTGAAGTTGCCATATCTTAGGGTGTAAGGTGTGCTCAAATCAACTGGCTGCCAGTTGCCATGTTGTAACTGAAATCTGAACTCTCTTTTCTCTCCTTGGCCCAGTCTCCCCCAACGTCGTAGTTTTATCTCAGTCTATTTTGGGTACCACCTTGGAGATATTTTCTCAAAAGGCTTTGAAGATTATGGTTCCCACAAGTGCCTTCTTCTGCTTTGGTTGTAAATCTGAATAGTTCAGCTGGTAGTAAGAAGGAATTTGTTGTGTCCCATCCTTTAGGGTGGGGAGTGTAACTGAAACTGCAGGAGGGCCATGGAGGGTGGAGAAGAAACTTCTGCAGAGGTTTGCAGTACTATGGCAACAAGGAAAAGATAGTGTGCTGTCAGTGGCGTGGTGAGTGATGAAGTCAGTGACAGAGCAGTACATAGGGCACCTCCTTGTCCTATCATTGCCCTGAAGCAAGGCATTGGTAGCCATGAATGAGAAGACTCTTCTTCAGCTACATTCCTCTTTAGAACATCATCATAAAGCTGAAAAGGACCTTTGAGGTCTTCTAGTCCAGTCCCCTGTAACAGCAAGAAACCTTATAACTGTCCCAGTCAAATGGTTATTCGGCTTATTTTCAAAAACCTCCAGTGATGGAGCACCCACAACTCTGGGAGACAAGCTATTCCATTGATTAATTGTTCTGACTGTCAGGAAAGTTCTCCTTACTTCTAAGTTGGATCATTCTTTAAAAATAGAGTAGAGTAGAGTAGAGTAGAGTAGAGTAGAGTAGAGTAGAGTAGAGTAGAGTAGTAGAATAGAGTAGAGTAGAGTAGAGTAGAGTAGAGTAGAACTGGAAGGGATCTTGGAGGTCTTCTAGTCCAGCCCTCTGCTCAAGCAGGAGAATCTATACCATTACTTCTTATGCTGCCCTAAGATGCTTTGGAGAATAAATCAAAACCCTCCTCCTTATGACAGCCCCTCAAATACTGGAAACAGCTATCATGTCCCCCGCCCACAAACCTCAATCCTGCTCTATGGTTGGCTAAACAGATCTAGTTCCTTAGCTGTTCGCTGTACAATTTAGCCTCCGCACCCCTTATTTTTGTTGCTCTTCTTTGCACACTTTCTTATTTTTTTTATTTTTACTCTTTACTATTTCCTCCTTTAGGAGAAGGTCACATTCTAGGCAGCGCAAATACTTTTGATCAGATTGCATTTGTTCAGACGTTTTCTCTTCACTGATTCGGTTCTAGCCTGAAAGCCAGCCAATTTGGTGGACAATCATGGACTTTCTGTAGGACACACGTTCTTTGTCCAGCCCTTTCCAGAATCTGCAGAGAACCCCCAGATCTTTGCCAACCCTGAGTTAGAAGGACTCATGTTTCTGAGCAATGTAAAGTCATTTAACATTTCTGTGTTTTTAAACTCATAAACACAAAAAAAAAAGTGGAAAAACCTTAGGGCTGCCTTTCCAGTTAAAAGGAAAACAATTTAAAAAAAAAAAAAAAAAAAGCTAAACAATTAACCAAGCTCGGCAGATAAGAAGTTGACCATAAGCTCAGATGACCCCAGTTCTATTCTGAGTTCTGACTCATAGCATGACCTTTAACAAGTCACTTACCTTCCCCATCTCCATTTCATTTTCTGGCATCTCAATCCTCAAAATGCTGACTTGCAAATAAATCCCATTAATTGGGGGGCGGGAATCATTGTTGTCATCGATGCTCATCAATGTACAGGTAATCCTCAGTTTATGACCACAATGGGGACTAGAATTTCTGGTGCTAAGCAAGGCAAGGATGAGGTGAGCCACACCCAATTGTATGATCTTTTTGGCTGTGCTAATGAATCTGGTTTCTCCCACTGACTTTGCCTATCGGAAGCCAGTTGGGAAAATCACAAAGGGTGATCCCCTGACTCCGGGATAATGCAATTGTCATAAATGCACCCAGAGTTTGGTCTTTGCAGGGATACTCTGATGGTCATAAGTGCAAGACTTGGTGGTGACTCACTTTTTTTCCCGTGCGTGCCGTTGTGACTTTGAACGGTCGCCAAATGAATGATCGTAAGCCAAGGACTACTTGCACGCTATTCTCGGCAATTTTGACAATCAACCTGCAAAGCAGGTTAATGCTGTCATCCTATCATGGGGACTTTTAGTTCTCTCTTTCAACATGAGGAGTTTCTCTTTTTCTTTTTGTAGGTTGAAAGAAACAGCTGAAAGTTCTCCTTAAAGGATGGGGGGAGGGGCTACAAGGTGTTCCAGCCTTGCTCCTTCCCTTCAGATCTCCCTAGGCAGTCAGGGGAGCCTTGTAGGAAAGTGCAGTTGCATTTCTTGAACCCTGTTAAGGATGATTTACAGGAGCAGAAGCTCTGCACAAGCAAGGAAGCTCATGTGAGTCATACTGTTTTGCACTGAGCTGAAGGTAATCAGATCTGTTCCATCAGCAGGACAAGACTGGAGGTGGAAAGAACAAGATTTACAAGGATCCCTGACTCCTTCCTTCGGTGGCTTTTGGAATGTCTCAAAGGGAATAACTGAATTGATTTGCCAAAGCCCACTTAAGTGAGTTCCTGGCTAGGATGAGATTTGAAAGATAAACTTCTGGGTATAAGAGTCCCCCATTAACACCACCAGGGCAATAATTTTGAGAAACTAGAAAAGTAATCATGTTAACAATTGGATTCAAGAGACATGTGACTCATCT